TGTGTGTGTGTGTGTGTGTCTGTGTGTGTGTGTGTGTGTGTGGCACTTGTGTGATTCCAGCACTCGGAAGCAGGAAGATCAGCACGAGGCCAAGGCCAACCTGAGTTACACAGTGAGACCCTGCCTGTCTCAAAAAAAAGAAAAGAAAAAGACCTGGAGAAGGGCAAGGAGGGAGTTGTGTCCACATCGGCATTGCAGATCAATCAAACAACCTGTGCAAAGGCCCTGGGGCGGCATAGAGCCTGGCATGGTGCATGGGCAATAAGGATCCCATGTGGCTGGAGCAGAGAGCACAAGAGGGAGGGAGGGAAGAGAGGTGGGGAGGGGATGGGTGGGCTGTGCAGGCCCCCATGGGCTGCCGGGAGGACTTGGGCTTTGGCCCCAGGGAGGTGGGAGCCCTAGAAGGCTCTGTGTGGCAGGGACGCACTGCTTGCTCTCGAGTCCCTGCTGCAGGAGGTGGATGGTCCAGGAGCCAGACCTGATGGTGAGGCAGAGCCAAAGGCAGTGACCAGCAGGGAGAGGGAGGAGGCTCCTGAGAGCAAACAGCCACATCTCCGAGAGCACTGTGTCCTGGGGTTCATGTGTGACCACCCTGAAGACCAAGTTGGCCTGCAAGTGCCAGAAAAGGCACAGAAGAGGAGCCCCCAGGTAACCCCGCAGGGCTATTTTGCCCCTATCAGCAGGGCCCAGGCTCTTTATATCTCCTTCATTCTCCAGTGTTAGCCATAACGCCTGCCTCAGGGTCCAATACAGCTGCCTGAGCAACTGCCATCACCTCCACATTCCCGGTGGGAGGTGAAAGAACCATGCACCACCTCTCTTTAAAGACATTTCCAGGAAATCCTGTTCATTTATTCCAGAATGATTCAGATGGTGCCGACAGCTGCAAAGGATACCAGGAAATGTCTTCCTTCCTCTCCCTGGTGACCATGTGTCCAGATAAAAATTGTAGAGTCCAATTGTTATAGAGCATGGGACATGAAGGGCTGTTGGGAGACCCCACCAGAAACGGGTGACCTCGGGGCCACATCTTAGATTTCAAGCCAGCACATCTGAGAAACTCTGCCCCAACTGTGACGGCTTTCACGGATCCCCAGGGTGCAGGCCTGGCTCAGCTAAGCCCAAGGTTCAGGTCAGTGCCCACAGGCTGGGCCCCCTGCAGCCCCCTATCCTGCCTCACCCCTGCCTGTCGAGGACCCAGGGCAATTCATCTCCTTCTCCTCCATAAACAACTGTCAGGGAAAATAAATAGTTTTTAATAGGCTCATTAATTGAATTCAGGAAGAAATCTCCTCTCCCCAGCTGAGCGGGAGGAACTGGGCAGAGATGGAGAATCTTAATGGCCAGAGGCAGCGGGCACCCCAGGCCCCTCTGCCCACCGTGCTGTGCCCCAGCCCCGCCAGTTCTGTCCCGGCTGCGAAGGGCCACAGCCTTACACTGGGCAGCAGGGATGGAAAAGGATTTAATATCATTCTTTTTTCTTGCAATACTGGGGGTGGAACTGAGGGCCTCTGCATTGAGCTCCATCTTGACCCTTCTTATTTTTTATTTTAGACAAGTATCCTTAAATTGTCCAGCCTGGACTAGAACTTGAGATCCTCCCGTCTCAGCCTCCCAAGTGCTCAGATGACAGGCCTGCACCACTGCACCCAGCTGAAATCTGTGTTCTTTTTCTTTTTTTTTTTGGTACTGGGGATCAAACTCAGGATCTTGCACTTATCTGTGTTGAGGGTCAAATTCAACCTTGAGAAAGACCAGCTGGTTCTGGCTGAGTCTTCCACTTGTCTCACTCTGCACTGAGCTCTTTCTGGGGTCCCAGCCCCTCTGGGCTCCCCCAGAGGCCAGAAATGGCACGGGCCGACTCTGGGCCCCTCACCTCCAGCACCTGTCCACAGGCCCGCCCCCCCCGGCTTGTGTGCTCCCCATTCCGTCCATCGTGGCTCTGCACACAGCTCAGAGGGCGCTCAAGGCCCAGAGAGGGCGAGCATGCGCCCGAGGCCACACAGCATCTCCGCTCTGGGGCTGCTTTCCGGCCCCTGCCCAAGGGCGGGGAGAGATGAGCAGCAGTGTGGCCCCTTCCTGCGATGCCGCCTCTGCCCCGTTGTCAGGGTGGGATGCGGGCACCAGCCTCCAGGAGCCCAAGGAGGGCGTCCCCCATCACCGCCCGCCGCATGGCTGACGGGGCCACCCAGGCTGGCGCAGGAGCCGGGCCTGGTGGAGAGAGTGGGTTGGAGGGGGTGACAGGAGCTGGGCACGGCCTGTGATCCCGGCACTCCAGGAGGCTGAGGCAGGAGGGCCACGAGATGGAGCCCAGCCTGGGCAATTTAAGTGTGCGTGCCTCAGTGTGCCCATTTGCAGGACAAGGTGACGCCCAGGGCTACTCCAGGGTAGAACTGGGAAGCACAGGTGGGCTGGGCACCTGGGGCCTCACTCTCCCCTCAGGTCCGGTCCTCTGAGACTGTCTGGGGGGATCCCCAAATCCCCGAGCACCCGAAAGGCATCCAGCCCCTCCCCACAGAGGCGGCAGGTGAGATTCTGCCCCACTTCACAGATGAGAAAACTGAGGCCGTGGGAAGGGAATATCGGGGTGACCCCCCAGAGCCAGTAAAAGGACTGCATCAGGAGTCCAGCCCCGGGCTTTCAGAGCCCCCAAACCCTTCCCCAGCAGGGCCAGCATCTGGGTGCCAAGGAGCAACATGAAAAGTCTGGGTCCTGGCAGCCTTTCTGTGCCCAGTTGGTTTCAGGAGGTGCAGACGGCGCTGTCACTGGAAACCACAATCAGTCCCACTTGCTAAAATCCACCAGACTGGGCTGAGGATGTAGCTCAGTGGTGCTGCACCTGCTGGCAAGGGCAAGGTCCTGAGTTCAATCCCTGGCACAAAAAAATAATAATAAAATAAAATCCACCAGACAGTTACCCACTCCCATAGTCAACTAGGCGGCAGGACCTGGATGGGCGAGGAGCCCGTGGAGATCCAAGCACCGTGACTCAGGCAGTGCACAGGGTGTGTGTGCTGCTGGCTGCCTCATTTCTCTCTCTGCCTTGGGTCTTAGGATAAATCAAGAGTTTTCAAATCACTGCGCCATTGTGCACACTGGGGCCAGGCATGCTGTGGATGTCCCGGGCACTGCAGGCTGCTGAGCCCCCATGGCTCCAGGCCAGCAGCTCCCCCAGTGTGACAGCCACCGATGTCCCCAGACACGGCCTCCCCAGGACAGAATCACCCCAGGCCGAGCAGAGCCACAGCGGCTCTGAGAAGAGGAGGAAAACAGTGGGCCCAGGACTCCACGAGGCATTTAATTTAAATCAGGCCTCTCCTGACAGCCGAGATTAATCTAATCAGAGGCGACTATCGAGCCAGACGGCGCGATCTGTTTCCCAGGGTTGCCCAGTGAGGCGTGGGACCCGAAAACCCATTTCACAGCCCAGGAAACTGAGGCTCATAGAGGCCATCAGAGGCCACGTGACTGACAAATGATAAGGAAGGGGTCAAAGCCCATGGGAGCTGGGTATGGCAGCACACGTCTGTCACCCCAGCCCTCTGGGAGGCTGAGGCAGGAGGGTTGCAAGTTCAAGCCCAGCCTGAGCAACTTAAGACTTAGAGACCCTGTTTCAAAATAAAAACTAAAATGGGGGGGCTGGGGATTTAGCTCAGTGGTTCCACTGCCTGCTTCAACACACAAGGTCCCGAGTTCCATCCCTGGTACCAAAAAACCCCCTAAAAAACAAAAAAACTAAAATGGGCTGGAGATGCAGCTCAGTGAAAGCCCTGGGTTCAACCTCAGCACTGCAAGAAAGAAAAGAAACCGCTCAAGAGCTGGGCGTTCATCCCATGCATCTCTACGGTGTGGTAGGGAATGGAAAGACGCACAAGTGTAAAGCAGGGCAGTTTCACGTGGGCCTGGATTTCTGGTTTTCCTTGGAAAACCAGGCTGATCCGGTTCTGGCGGCCACAGGGAGCCCCGGGCCACGTCTTCCGCCTCAGCGCCCCTCAGGCCCTGACTCCCGCTCCCGGGCCTTCCTCGCCCTCTCTGGCCCCTCTGGGGCCGTCCTGGCAGCGGGGACTTTGACAGCGGCCCTCTGCCCACTGAAGAAAGCCCTGCTCCCAGCCCCTCAGCATGCCCAACAGGCTTTCCTCTGCCACACTGCTCAGCGACACTGCCCTGCGTTTATCTCCCCTGCTCGGCCACTCTGCCTCAGCAGCAGACCAGGCCCGCGGCTTCACTGCTGCAGCCCCGATGTCAGTTTTGTCTTCAGTTTATAGAGAAAGGAAAGGACGGAGGGACGAGGGAGGGGACTCAACCACCCTTCTGCCACCAGGGAGACAGCACTTCGCCCGCTTCTCAATGGTCTCTACGAGGAGGGAGATGCTGTCACAGGCCCTGTGGACAGATCGGGAAACTGAGGCACAGAGCCGCTCCATCTCGAGCCTGAGCCTCACAGCGGGGAAGCAGCTAGGCTGGGATCCAGGGTCTGGCTCCCAAATTTATAGTGTTTTTTTGCAGTACTGCGGATGGAACCCACACGGGATGTCTCCAGGCCTTTTTCTTTTTCTTTTTTTAGTACCAGGGATTGAACTCAGGACCTTGCACTTGGGAGGCAGGCGCCGAATTTTTCTTTTTCATTTTGAAACAGGGTCTCTCCAAGTCACTCAGTCTTGCTGGGCTCATCCGTGCGACCCTCCTGCATCAGCCTCCCAGACGGTGGGTATCGTTGTTTGATCTGTTGATCCGCACCAGGACCTTCCTGGCAGCGGCTTCCCAGCAGCCCCTGGCCCTGTGCAGCCCCTGCACGGGGTCTGGCAAACGCGGCAGGATGACTCAGCCGCTGGAAACTGGGGCGTTCCCCGTCGCTGGCTGCCTAATCAAGGCCGCCCCACTTCTGCGGCAGCACTGGGCCAGGCTCCTGGCGGGAGCTGAGCTGCAGGGAGCCAGGAAGGTGGGCAGGGAAGGCAGGCAGCTCGCAGAGACCCTAGGCCAAGGCTGCCCGCTCCCCAGCCCATGATGGGGCAGAGCCGGAGGTGGGGGCAATCGCGGGCCCATGAGGCGAGCCCCATTTCCAGGCTTGGAATGCAGGCAGCATTCATTGATCCATTCATGCAGTCAGCCTTTGAGGAGGAGCAGCTGCTAAAGAACTTGGGAGCCAGACCCAGCACGGTGGCACATGCCTGTCTTCTAGCACTCTGAGAGGCTGAGGCAGGAGGATCTCAAGTTCAAGCCCAGCCTGGGCAACTTAGAGAGACCCAGTCTAAAAAGTAAAAATACAGGGCCGGGGATTTAGCTCAGTGGTTCAGGCACCTGCCTCACAAGCGCAAGGTCCTGAGTTCGATCCCCGGTACCAAAAAAAAAAAAAAAAGTAAAAATACAAAGGGCAGGGATGTAGCTCAGTGTGAAGGCCTTGGGTTCAATCCCCAGTACAGGAGAAGGAAGGAAAGAAGGAAAGAAAGAAGGAAGGAAGGAAATTCAGCATCCAAAATGCTTGGGTAGACTCTCTGTGCTGTCACTTATAGGCTATGTGATTCAGGCCGATGTAGATCCTGCTCTGTGCCTACGTTTCCACTGTCCTCAAAGGAGACCCCAATGGCACCAAGTGGAAAAGGACTGAAGGTCAGTGGACTGAGGAGGCAGTAGATTTGCTCGCTTACCCGAGCTCCTCAAATGGGGCACAGACAACCAAGTAAGTTGGAGCCACTATTCCAGTCCCCCACCCCCTCATTTGCTAATCACAGGGTTAATTATACGTGACATCAAATTATACACACGCAGCCGAGTGGCCGCCCCTTCCCCAGAACCCCTGTATTTCCACCAACACTCAATTACCCACGCGACAGCCCCACAATGCAGCATCTTCCCGCCCCTCTGCAGGCTGCTGCAGCTCTGCCTGCCAGGCCCGGGCCCGACTAGGGCTCCTTGGATGGACGCAGGCTGGGACGGTCAGGTAGTAGCAACCACAGAGCACAGAGAGTTCGAGCAACCTGGCCCAGTCTGCACAGCACAGGAGGAGCTGACGACAGCTCTATGTGGGAATCCAGAGGGTTATCTCATTTCCCAGGCAAAGTCACTGTTCTGCGGACAAGGGACAGAGATGGAAGTCGCGCAGGGAGAGAGGAAGGAAGGAGAAACAGGCCCCCCCCCAAAAAGGGACCCGGTGTGATGGTGCACGCCGTCATCTCAGTACTCGGGAGGCTGAGGCAGGAGGATCACCACAAGTTTGAGGCCAGCCTGGGCTCCACAGTGAGTTCAAGGCCAGACAGAACTACATGGTGAGACCCTGTCTCAAAAAAAAAAAAAAAAGAAAGAGAAAACGCCTGGTTTTTCTACAACAGATGAATAACAAAGATAAAAATAAAATAAGATAAAAATAAAACTCAAAAGCGGCAGGGGTGACCCAGGTAGCCGAGAGCCTATCATGGGCAAAATCCACCCTTTTTCAAAAAGGGACGCCGGTGATTCACCTGGCAGCGGCCACTGAGCACAGCGTCCGTGTGACCCAGAAAACCCGCTGGAGCCCGGCTGGGTGGGGTCTGGGATTCTTTAGGGGCCCTGGAATCTTGGGGCTCCAGGACGCGGGAGGGGAGGGGAGGGGAGGGGAGATTCCACCACCCCCAGAGTAGCATGGAGCGCAGGTCCGGCCGGGCTGGCTGAGGACAGCAAGGGGACCAGCAGCACACGGAGGAGGAGGAGGAGGAGGAGGAGGAGGAGGAAGAGGACGAAAGAAAAGAGAGGAAGGAAAAAGGAGGAGAGACAAAAATAAAGAGTGTGAGAGTCAGGCCCCGGCTGAGTCACCATTATCTGCCCGTTAATTTTCGCCTTTGCACACGCGTAAGCCGATTGATTTCTACACGTCCCCCACGCACGGCCCCCCAGCACCTCTGAAATACCAGCCAGAGACAGACAGAAATGGTGCACCAGGCTGGTTTTTCTTTTTGGCTGTGCTGGGAATGAAGCCTTCGGGTGCTAGGCGAGCCCTGGCTACCACTGAGCTACAGCCCAGCCCCGGCTGTATACCACGAGGATTGTTTTGAGTGAATTTTCTTAGCTTAAAGAAAAGGGTAGCAGTGCGTGATGGTGCACACCAGCCATCCCACTACTGAGGGAGGCTGAGGCAGGAGGGTCCCAGGCAGCTTGGTGACTTAGTGAGACCTTGTGTCAAAATAAAATTTTTAAAAAAGGGCTGGGGATGGAGCTCAGTGCTAAGGCCATGGGTCCAATTCCTAGTACTGCAAAGAAGAGGGGAGGGAGAGACAGGGGAGGGGAGAGGGAGGGGAGCCACGTACAACACTCAGTACCCTTGACCCTCGGGGTCAGGGACACCCACATGTCACCACCCCGAACCCTGTGTCTCGGTGCCCAGACTGGCCTCTCCAGGCTGTGGTTTTCAGAGCAAGGTGAGGCAGCTCCCCACCCTGAGCAGGGCATCATAGGGGGACAGGGACCTCACAGGAGCTACAGCCCCCGGGACCCAAGCCACTGGGCTCTGGAATTTGGGGCAGGGAACAGCCACCCCCAGCCCCAGCTGCCTGCCTTCCTTCCTTCCGCATCCTGCCCTGGTGGTCCCGTTACTGATTCCAGACCTCAAAGTGCCCCCTGGTGACAGGACAACACAGAGTGAATGCTGACTCCTTCTGACCCCTTCCCTTCCCCTTGGGCCCCAGCCTGCAGCGCGGGGTTCAGCAGGGAGCGTACAGCCCGGCCGGCTGTGCCCCAGGCCTTTGTTCCGGGCCAGGCCAGGGCGGGTCCCACCATCACCTCATCCCCAGGGGAGGCCGGGAGCCGCCGGGGACCCTCCAGATCCTCCACCCCGGTGTCTTTTGTCACAGGAAGGACAAGGAAGGGCGGAAGGCACAGGGTGTGCTGCTGTCTGCGATTCTTCAAGGGAGCCCATAGCGTCCAGTCCCGAGCCCGCAGGGGACCCCAAGAAAGGACCCAGCTACACCCCCAACCCCATGCCCGATCCCAGTCTTCCTGGCTCCCATCGATGCCACAGACACAGCCTGATGGGGTGGGGGAAGCAGGAACCGCTCTCTGCCGAAAACATCAAGCTTCATCAATTATCCCCCAAACCCGCTGGGTTTATAAATACTCGACTTTATTTTTAGGGTTCTCTTCCTGGCTCACCCCCATCCTGAACTCTCTCTGTGCCCCTCCTTCCCCCACCTGCACCGTGGTGCCGCTAGAATGGCAGACAGGTGAATCCCGGGCCACCAGGTCCTGTCACCTCTGCCACACGTCCCGGTCCCCAACCGCACCGGCCATGACCACAGCCACACAGTCCCTGGAGTGACCGCTGAAGCCACAGGTCTCCCTGGGAAACGCTGCTCCGTGCAGACCCTGGAGGCAGGCAGGGAAACAGAGTCACATCCTGGCAAAATGCAGCTGAGTGGAGCCGGAGCTGCCTCCTCGGCCTGGCCCAAGTCTGGAGCCCCAGGCGGAATCCGGCGCTCCACGTGACCCAAAGAAGAAACCGGGTGGATGCTGACGATTCCTGATCTATCCACTTATTCTGTGACACCCCCACTAAAGGCCTGAGCCCCACGAAGCTGCCCTCAGACCCCCACGTCCCAGACCTGA